GTGATTAAGCTTTTTATTTAATTTTTCTTGTGTTCATAGAAGTGTTTTCTTTTCTGGACACAAAGTGTGTAAAAACTGTCCAAAAGTTTTCTACTTCCAAGTGCTCCAAAAAAATTTGGGTAGCACTTCCATACAAGGAATGCTCCAAAAGTAATACAATCTATTTCCATGGAAACTCTGACAAATACAGGTAGCATCATAGCACCATTGCATTAAAGAGATCAATCTTTCAGGTCAGAAATACTAATTTCTCACATAGTCAACACCGTTGAACGTATATTTTAAAAGCTGTCTTCATTCCATTTATCAACAACTGTGCAGGGCTGACTGGAATATGGCTTCTGAAAGGCTTCACTCATAACCTGACTGTCATAAGATCTACTGTTTTGTCTAAGTAAATGTTCAGAAAGTTTTGTTGAATGTCACTAGTTCTTAAATTTTTTCCACATCAAAGAATTCTATGATACACCTTTGTTTTGTATGCACTTTTATGTCAGATACTATTCTGTCAGATTGCTGCTCAGGTGCTATCTGTAACAAGGCAAATAAACATTATAGGTTATTGACAGGAAGGTACAACCTCTGTTGCCATGTTGCTAATATTCACTTTTGATGTAGGCCAACATAATGAAATAGTAGGCATTATTTTTGGAGTGACCCCCTGTGTATGTGTGTATGCCTGTGTACTTACAAGATTAGTAATTCAACAGAGATAATTTTTACATACTTAAATAATATATGATAGAAAAATGTCATTCTTTTCATTTACACACATACATGGATATGTGTGCATTTTAAACAGTATATGTAGACAGAAGTACTTCATTTACACTTTATATATATATATATATATATATATATATATATGTGGTGGCCTTACCATTACCAAGAAAAATGTGGGAGTGACAAGCTGGTAAAAAGTTGAGTTTGAATCCAGAGTTGTTCGCTTTTCCCACAGAGCCAGGAATTTAGGTAGGATGTGACAATATGTTGTGAAAGCAGTAATATTTGACGCCAACTTGTAAGTTTTTTTTAACAGGTTTCACAGGATCCTCATGATGATTGATTTAAAGAGAGTGATTGGCTGGTGGTGATTTTATCCTTAATCTGGGAATTTCCAGAAGGCTTGAGTGTTAATTGGCAGAGTTGTTATGTCATTAAAACTCTGACTACCAGGAAAATTCCTTCAATAGAAGCTTTGTGTCATATGTTCTGAATGTGGAAATTCCACAGTGCTAATGCACTTTTGGAATCAATAAAAAATATATTTTATAATTTGTGGGTATGTATGTCCTATTGTTGCCCATTTCAGGCTCTGATATGTACTACACTCTTATCACAATAAAAGTGCACAAGAGGTATTTTAAATTTTTTTTTTTTTTTAACTTATTACTACCCCCATCCACAATAAGTGACCAGATTTATATAAGACTGGAACTGTTCACTTATTATGGAACAGAGGTAGTATTATTATATTCATACATTATAGACTGGAACTGGACCCTTATCATGAAATGATTATATAGGGTGACCCCCAAAAAACGGGAACTTTTTAACAATCCAATAAAACCAAGTGTGATGGAAGAAAAATATTTTATTCATAGTAATTGAAACCTTAAAATATGCCATTTAAGAAACAATGATGGAATTTTCATTTTTTAAAAATTACGTCCTGTAGATGGTGTCTTCCTGTATGAATGCATTCTTGAAATCTGCTGTTGAGATTCCTCATTGACTGCTGCAACATCTCAGCTGGGATACTGTAAATTTCATCTTGAATTCCAAATGTTTACTTGCTCAAGGTCACTGTCTCGCAGTATTGCCACTTGCTCATGTCTGGTAATACACACTTCAAAAATTCCCGTTTTTTGGTGTCACCCTGTATATTAGTATTATTATATAATGATTATATTATATACATATATATTAGTATTATTATATTATATAAGACTGGAAGTGGTCACTTATTGTGGATTAGAGTCAGTATTATTATTTTTATATATTATAGACTTGAACTGAACCCTTATTGTGGAACAGAGGTAGTATTATTATATTTATATTATATAAGGACCAGAACTGGTCTATTTTATATATGGAAAAATTATACATAAAATTTATTCATTCTAAATCATTTTGAAGAATTATTGAATCAGCTGTAATATCAAGATTATATTTGGTTAATCAAAAAGTAGGTTTTTTTTTAAATATTTAACCTTTCCTGGTTAACATAATATTTAATATTAAGTATTAATAACGATCAGAAAGTTGGTTTAATGTGTTATTTTGAACAATTTTTCCTGCCAGAATCTACCTTACATATTTATAAATCTACCATTTGTCCATGCATTGAATATTGCTGCTATGTCTGGTCTGGTGCTTTTGCTATGTATCTAGAAATTCTTGACAAAATCCAAATAAGAATCTGCAGTGTTATTTTTTCTGACCTGGCATTTCAGCTTCAGTCACTTTCCCACCACTGTAACATAAGTTTCTGCGCCTTTTCTATAAATATTCTCAGACTAATTGTTCTGATGAGTGTTCCTCTATGGTACCTCGATGAATTTAAGTGCACTAGTGATTGAGTAGGTCTCATCATTTTACAGTTGAAATTACTAGATGTAGCCATAAGTTTTATGATAAGATTTTTTTTCTCTTGCATTTCTTGTGGAATGCTCTACTGGTCTCTTGCTTTCCAGTCAACTTTACTCTTGAAAAATTTAAATGCAATGTCAATTGTCATTTTTTGTCTACTTGAATCCTGTTTTATTATTGCCCTCTATCCTTAACAATGATTTTTCTCAAATTCTTTCTCTCAGTTATCCTGTGTCTTAGTGGCTTTATTGCCTTGCTTGGGGTGAAATAATTAATACAAATTCTTAGATGCTGGCTAAACATTTTGATAAAAAATTAATTATAAATGTTTATTCTAATTCTATATTTTTCTTAACACTTAAATAATATTATCATAAATGATAAATTGAATTGTGTATTACATTTTGCGGTTTGAATTTAGAGTTTCTTTTTCTTAGACTGGTTGCCACCCAAGGCTATGAGTCCCAGTCTGTCCTGCTATTTTACCCATAGCTGGGAGGAGAAAAGATGGATTCATACATTTCCCAAGGGTATTAACATGTAAGTGAATGTAATGAATTTGACTGGAATTTGAACTTGGCTCTCCAATTACTCAATTTGAGCCACTAACCATTACTCCACTCTGATTCCTACTATAATTATTAATTATATTTATTTACTGCCTTCTTTAGCTATAAGCAAGTTATTTTCTTGTCATAATTCTTATTTTACTACATCAAATCAAATATTTGTTTAATGATATTAACCACCACATTTCTAAGTAGCATGATTGCTATGGTAACAATTTTTCATTAATTTTTTGCAGTTGTTTTCATGATATTCTTATTGAGTGAAACATTGGTAAGAGAATAATAAAAAAATCTAAACACCCTTTTTTCACATATTCCATCTTACATATAAAATTAACTTCAGGGTGGAGTACGTTTACACAAGTTTCTCAATGGACTGTAATCTTCATCAGAATAAAATCAGTTTAACCCCTTTGCCTGTCCAGGGTATTTTCATATGTATTATCTAAACATTCATGCTTGTCTTCCGATTTATAACTACTGCAAGGCAACTCGGCTTATTTGCCAAATAGAATGTGCTGATAGTGTTTTACATAATAAAAATATACAAATTATACGTTATTTACACTATGCTCTGTATGTCATATGTGATGGACAGGTTTTTATCATGTGAAACACTATATATCAATCAATTCTATTTGCCATATAAGCGGAGTTGCCTTGCAATAGTTATAAATCTGAAAACAGGCAATAGTGTGCAGAAAATTTTTTATTTTTATTACAACTTCATCTTTTTCTTTTCAGAATCTAACAGAGAAATAAAAGAACTCCTATAATGAATTCCAAACATTTTTATGGTAAAGGAACTCAAGAAAAGATTGATGATAGTGATCTAAGTCTTGATGATATTTCATCCCTTGATGAAAGTGAAGATGAACAGTCTAACATTTTCCACAGGCATGAACTGAAATGATAGTACTGATCAATTGCTAGGCCTGCTGCAATACTAGATTAGCAGTTAGGTCTCATTATTTTACTGTTGAATTTGTAAAATGTAAGCGTAACTCCTATTCTAATTGTTTATTCTCTCACACTTCGAAATGAACTCTTTCCAACTTCATCTTTTACGATCTTCAAAAATTTAAATGCAATATCAATTATCATATTCTGTCTCCTTGAATCCTGGTCTTTTTTACGTCCTCTCTCTCTCACTCTCTCCTCCTCAAAATTTTGTCAGTTTCTTTCAGTATCTATGCGGATATGACAAGTATTTACCCCTGTCTTAATTATAATTCTGATAGATTCGGTAAAGTCAAATTAGCAGCTGATCTTGAAAATTACATTCAATCTTGTTAACTGGGGCAAGAAATGACTTGTGAATTTTAATGCCTTCAAAACTAAACTGCTCTCCTTTTGTGGTTTTATCATCTTGTTTTGGGTGAAATCATCTACCATTGTGATGTATATGATTTTTTTCTTACATATATAGGTCAGAAAAATTTAATTTGTTCCTTTTATTGACAAGAAATTTTTTTATTTTGGATTAAAAAAAAAAAAAACCATAACTTTACAGTTAGTAAACAACGATTTTATTATGAACATGATTGTCCCTTTGCTGCCTCTTATGAATGTAGGAGATATTTTTCAGGAAGTAGGTTGTAAATAAAAAGATCAAGTCAATCAGCTGGTTGTATTTACTAGAAAAGTACAACGTGATATTGAATTTAGTGTCACTAAGGGTTCTAGAAGTGTCCTTGTACCAGACTTGGTTTTATTATAGTGAATAAGAAACAATTTGGTTGTTGGAAAAATAAATTCCTGGCAATTGTTTGAAAGGAATATTCACAGATGTTGCTTTTTATTTGTAATTGTTTTATTTGTTATTTTTCCTTTCAAAAATTATGCCGTTTCTACCAGACCTTTGACCAGATCAGGAAGTTGTTCATTTGGACAATGGAAAATTTCCAGGAAGTCCGCTTTCATTTTTCTGAAAATGAGCAAATTTATTTAGAATATAAAATGTCATGATGCATTCATTTTTAGAAAAACACTTATTTATAATTGGATTTATAAAAGCCCTATTATGCATTCTATAAATTAATGCTTACTTTAAGTTAAAACTTGAAGACGAAATAATTGTTTGTAGATTGAAAGATATTTTTTAAAAATGTGCTATTTATTGACGGTTGTACAATCTCAGAACCATATTACAAAATTTATATAAAAATTTTCAATTGAAATTTTGAACTTTAGCGTTGCGACTCGCACGTTCTGAGATTGTACAAATGTCAATAAATAGAACATTCTTAAAAAACATCTTTCGGTTTTAATTTTAAAGGAAAAAATTACAGCCTGATGATGGAGACATGGTCTTCGAAAGTACTTGCTTAAATTAAAAAATATACACTAGAAACATCTGACAAGTTTTATAAATGAGGATCACATCATTCAATGGATTAACAGTATTTTAATGCATACATTATGTTCTACTAGCGAAGTGATTTCTCATTAATCGCATTAATATTGCTGATTGATTCTATGTATGATTATTTCTTTATATATAAAATATATGCTAATAATTTATATATATATATATATATATATATATATATATATATATATATATACAGATGAACACATTCCACATTTTAAATGCCAGACAGATGACTAATATCATCATCTGCCGAAATAGGCCATTCCCCATATGAGGTAATTATTTATTTATTTATTAATTATATTGCTCTGTATCAATAAATACATCAAGCGTTTTTTTTTTTGGATTTTTAATATATTATACAAGGAGCCAATTGGATTCTGTTTACATTTTATATATATATATATATATATATATATATATATATATATATATATATATATATATATATATATATATATATATATATATATATAGATTCCAAAATAAAAAATTTCGCTTGAGGATGGAAAAAACCCATTTTAGTTTTATAACTCAATTTAATTTAAAGGATTATATTGAAGTTTTCGGCTTTTAGTTTTGAAACATGAGACCTCTTATGTAGCGATTTGGAATCATATTTTAAATAAATAATTTTATATATATATATATATATATATATATATATATATATATATATATATATACATACAATAATATATAAAAAGACTGTATGAACTTTACTTATTCTTTATCTTATCATTCTGTCAGATTCCTCTCCATATCATATTTGACATTTGACCCCAAACTCACAATTTTACTCACTAGTATAGTCTCTCTTTCCTCCAACACTACACAACAATAAATAATACTTGTTTTGTTGTTTCCATGTCTCACTGCTTCTCATTTTTACAAGTATTTTTGCATATATAAATATTAGGGGGTTTATAATTATTTACTCAGAATTATAATTCCCCTACAAAAGCAACTGCAAATTTGATTACATTATACATTACATATAAATATATCAGGAGGAATAATATAATATTAGGTATTTATCAAATTGTTCAGTCATTTAGACTTCTTTTATATTGAAAGAAAAATCTATTTTAAATAACATCCCTCACAAATATCTAAAATAAAATCTTCCCATATATTTCTGTACTTTGATCAAAATATTTCTACGATAAAAATTCAAACTAACCTTTTGGAATCCAATTTCTGTTGAAGCTGTTTGGATTTTTCACTTGCAACTTTGAGTATATTAGTTTTTACACCTGCTAAGCTTGCAACATTGAGTCCATAACTGTGACTGGCCATACCAAGTACCAGTTGATAGAGAAATGTCACCGCCTCATAATCTTCAGAATCTGGATGGAAAAAAAAAAAAAAGGAAGTCATTCTTTTAACAAAATTCATGAGGCTAAATGACAAAACATGTTATAAATTTTAATGCCTCCAAAACAAAACTGCTCTCATTTAACCACCATAGAGAAATTTTCTGACACTAGACCCCCTAGAGAGAAAGACACTGCACCTTCTTGGCCTCATGTTTTCAACTGACTTGAAGTGGAGCAACTACATTGAATCAATAGCTGCATCTACTGCAAGGAAAGTTGGATCACTGTGTTGTGCCAGAAGGTATTTCTCATAAGAATCCATCTTGTACATTTACAAATTTACTATTTGTCCATGCATTGATTACTGCTGCCATATCTAGTCTGGTGTTCCTGATATTTATCTTGACAAAATCCAAAAAAGGATCTGTAATGTAATCAATTCTGTCTAGGAATCATGGCTTCAGTCACTTTTTCACTGATGTGGCATGGCTTCCCTCTGTCTTTTCTACAAATATTTTCATGGCATCTGCTCTGACAAGCTTTTTTCCCCCCAGTGACCCGATTACATAAATTTAAGTGTGCAACTACATTGGCATCTAGGTCCCACCTGTTTACTGTTGAAATAACTAAATGCAATCACCACTTCAACTCCAACAGTTTCTTTTCTCACACTTCCTGCCTGTGGATCTCCTTTCCATTTACTTGTATCCTTGATAACTACAATCTTCAAAAATTTAAATACAACATCAATCACCATCTACTATCTTCTTGAATCTCATTCATATTTTGTCCTTTCCAAAATTCTCTCTATACTCAGTTTTTTCTTAAAAAAAATAAGAAAAAAATAATATCAGACTGATATAAAAATATTGTAAATGTTTCAACATATGAACATCGAACTTGTGTAAACACACAATACTACCCAATCTTTCCACTGACTGGCCAATAATTTCCCTATCATTGCATCACAATTCTTGTTCATGCCAGTGTGTACTGAAGGCTGGGAAAGGGTCTGCTGCATGCTCACAAGATAAGATTAAAAACAAATACCACATCAAGAAATGGGAATACAAATCCAGTTTCCAATATTATATTTTGATGTTTTATTCAGGGCTTCAGGGTAGTTAGGTAGGCGACAACAACTGTTATGTTGATCTCATTGATCATGATAAACTACATCAGGCTCTGATCAGGAGATTGGAGGTTTTGGGGACCCTGGAGCCACCTCTTAATTACTGTTGTTTCCAGCTCCACCTTGACATGGGGTGGTAGCACCTGCTAGGGTCCCATCTATGGGCAAATAATGAATCCCTAAACAAAAACACTATGAAAGTATAAAAATACTTTTTAATAGTAAAAATACCAGCAATAAATTTTTATATAAAATAGACCAATAATATTTAGTTAAAGCCATAAAATTGTATTATTTAGATTGTGGCATTAAATAACCCATAGAGGTTGATATCCTGCTAAACAAAAATCAACCAACCATACTAACTCCTTACCCATATATATGTCCAGATGTGTGGCTGGCAATACAAATTGGTGGTGTCAGAACTATGTAATAGACATCTCCATCTCCCTGCAAAGGCGAACTGAATCTCCTGACCCAAAACATGACCACTAATATATATCTAGAAATAATCAATTTCTGGTTTGTTATTGCTTGGTCTGAAAAAAAAAAAAAAAAACAAAAAAAAAACTCTCATTCACTCATTTATTTTTCCATTCCCTCAAATCAAAGTGGATGCTGCTTAGAAGACCAGACTTCAAAAAGAACCATCCACTGGCCATAAAACAGAAACACTTGAGAACAAGATTAAATCACATCTTCCTCTTCTATGTGAGTGTCCATAGTGACACACTTGCTGCTACAATAAATTATTTCTTATATATTTCTCGAAAAAATTTTTTTCCTATTTATTACAATAGTATAGGAGATGGTATTGAAAATTTCTTGGCACTAACTACATTCCAAATATTAATATTTCAATGACCAAAATAATGATTTTGAGAAGTGGGTTAGACTGAGAACATTTCAGTACTCTCTTCTAAATCCTAACCAATGCATTCATAGAGTAAACTAGCAGTATAACCCGTCTTCGACCGGATGTTTCATTACTGGGAATTTTTGCTGTTCAATTGGAGCATTTTAAGTTTAAACCTGAAAATCAATATTAGTAACAACAATTGGGTGCAATTGAGGAACATCCCCAAATGGTGTGTGTGTGTGGGGGGATAACAATTTGAATGTGGAGTGGCCCTGCAAAGAGCCGTTTTTGTTTCCTCAATCTTGTTTCAGTCTCATGCGCAACAGCAGTTGAAGAGACGTTTCTCCTCAGCCATTGAGTCCTTTGATCATCATTTTCAGCCTAAACAACATCTGATTACACACACACATACACATTTTGAGAATTATAGATATAGATAATATTGTTGTAATAATTTAAACTATTTATTTTTAATGAAGTTTTTATGAAAGATATATATCCAAGAACTGATAGTAAATAGTAAAACGTTGCTGAGAGTTACAATGGACAGGAAGTAGTGGAGAGCCATTGTCATCAACAATTTGGACTCAAAACTGGCACTGAAGAATTATCTATTAAACAAAAAGCATTTCATGGAAATCGGATGAAAACTGTGGAAAGGCATAAACAACATTTGATCACACATATATACACACATTTTGAGAATTATAGATATAAATATTTACTAAAATACATGAACCAACTATAAGGAAATCCTTATTAATTTACCATTTTATAAAGTTAGAATCAATATATATAGATAGATGGTATTGAGTATATTTGTATAGACAAATCACATGCAAAATATAAAATTGATTTCTTTGAAATTCTGTAGTAAGCTAACTTTTAAGCTGCTTCTATAGTAAATAAACTTTAAATGGCTTGTAAATTTGAAGAACCATTTTGAGAATCATTTTTGCCATCCATCAACATGGCTGATGTTAACCTCCAGTGGAGCAACTCATTATGCCTTCTTATTGTTGTATTCCACTGGCATGAATCGGAGTGATTATATTGAATCAATTGCTAGGAAGGTTAGTTCACTGTGTCATGAGAGACAATTTTTTTTGCTAGAATTCATCTTGCACATTTATGAATGTGCCATTCATCCATGCATTGAATATTGCTGCAATATCTGCTCTGGTGCTTTCTGTTACTTTTCCACTGCTGTGACATGATTTCCTTGTATCTTTTCATCCTAATGAGCTTTCCACCAAGGTAACTCGACTGCATGAATTTATGCATACTGCTAGATTGGTAATTAGGTCTCATTGTTTTACTGCTGAAATAGATGTGGCTAGCTGTAAATTCTATTCTAATAATTTCTTTTCTCACCTGGTGAACTCTCTTCCAGTGTTTTGCATTCCTGCTACATACAATCTTCAAAAATTTTAATGCTACATTAATCAGCATCATCTGCCTTCCTGAATTCTGTTCTTTCATTGTCCTTTCTTTTCACAGATATTTTTTCATTCTCTTTCACTCTCATTAACTCTTTGCATCTTAGTGGCATTATCGACTTGCTTGTGGGTGAAATGATTAAAAAAAAAAAAAAAAAAAAAAATATTAAATTGATTCCACAACAGTCAGTAGTGTGCAAGGGGGTGCAGAAGGTGCGGCAACCCAGGGTATCCATATTGGGAGGGCATCTAATCAAAGAGTGAAATAAAAATTTAGTTTATATTCAATTTGAATAAAGTGTTTATTTCATGTTTCATGTATTTTTACATATTTAAAATGTCTTCCTTTCTTACATTTCCTAATACTAGGCCCCCTTCCCTGTTACTTGAGTTTTAGGGGGGCATACAATCAAGGAGCTGGCCTCGAGTATCACCGAACCTCTGCACATCACTGACAATAGTGGAAGTCATTTTCAATGTTCCATTATAACAAAAAAATTTTAAAGATTATTCAAACAAGTGACTTTTTTTCTGCAATATGGTAACATTTTCACCTTAATTCTGCGAATGGAATTTCCAAGGACTCACCTGCATCATCTTCATTGATCAGAAATGACATGTGGTAGTTCCCAACTAAATCTGGATACAACTGTTGGAAGTGACAAAGCACCTGATAATGGGTGACAAACAAAGTTATACACTTTGTCTAATCACACAAACAAAACAAAAATGTTAATAAATAAAAATAATTAACAATGTGGTGAATTCTTCAACAATGTTTATTTTGTGTTTTAATGTTTTCAATAAAAAATTTTATTTCATTATCACTCATTTGTCAAACTTTTAGAATTTTCATAAGTTCATTCAATCTTAATCATCACTCATATTTTGTATAGACATTTGTTCATTATTTTTTACTAGCTTAAAAGCCACACTCTGTGCAAACTTTTAAGCTAGCTTTTATGGAGGGCTAATTAGATCTCTGGCCCAAAACTAAGAGGACTAACCTCCAGTCCAGCTTACAAAACGGCAATGATAATTTTGAAGAAATAACTTTGAATTCCTCAATTCATTCCATGGAACTTCAAAACTACCTTTTAACTCTGATTCAGGATATAAGTCCAATTCCGGTCAAAAGACCGATTCGGGGAGAAATTCCAATTCAGGCCGAAAATTAAGTTCTTCAAGTCACAAACTCTGCAAAATTTCAAATCCTCAAGTAACAAAATCTCAGACTAACTCTGGTTGCTTGGCATTTTGATGAAATAAAATGGATTTCTTCAATTAAAAGTTTTAGAGATATTTTAAGCTGAATTTAAAAAAAGATTTTAAATTCACAAAGTTTTTGTGTTACTTTAAACTCAATATAAATTAAAAACTTTTAAAATCCCAAATTTTTTCAGTTATTTTAAAATCCCAAATTTTTTCAGTTATTTTAAAATCCCAAATTTTTTCAGTTATTTTAAAATTTGAATTTTTTCAGTTATTTTAAAATTTGAATTTTTTCAGATATTTTAAAATTTGAATTTTTTCCTCATCCAGACACAAATCCCAATGCTAGATTTTCAATCTTGGGATCATCCTGATTCCATAAAGGTATATGTCTATGTAGAGCAAGAGTGGCCCAAGTTAGAGGTGGTTTCAGACACACAGATGGAAAGATAGAACTTGCCATTTATTTATTTAGAAGATTATTGTATATATTAGAGTATAGAGTGAATATTTATAATGATTTTCTTTTTTTTTTTAAATATGGGGTTGCATTATACACAGGTAATTTTTTTTGAAGTGGTTTAAAGTCAAGCATGAACGAAAACAAATGCATGGTATCTAAATCTTTGTATTAGATATTTTATAGTAAGTGGTTTTTCTCATTATTTAGGGGTAGATTGGTACAAAAAGAAAATGAAGATAGTTTATTTGCAATAAAATATGTTCAGGATGATGCTTAGTACTGCAATATTTGACTACAGTAGGCCTACTTAAATTGTTCAGAAGCCGGAGTCACATTATACATGCACTATGTGAAAAAAATCAGGTTTTGCTCCCAAAAATTCAGGGGTCGCACTATACATGAAGTAGGATTATATATGAGTATATACAGTATTTGTGACATTACTGTTGGCCATCACATTTATTCTTCAAGATTTATCTTATCTTTTTTAGTCACTTGTACATCATTCTTTATCAAATCTTTGATATAGTCAGACATTCATTCATAATATCTTTCACTTGGTCCCCTGCACATCCTACTTTACCATCATTCATTTATCAAATCTTTGATATAGCCAAATTCATAACTTTTTATTTAGTCACTTGTACATCATTCTTTATCATCACTCGTTTATTATATATTTGATATTGTCAGATTAATTCATAATTTGTTATTGTTTGTTATCATAACATATAAGTTAAATTTTTGAGCATAAAGCTGTAATAAATACTAGATATCAACTTATACTAACTGTAACGCAAAAACCAAATGAGAGAAAATAATAACACTACTAGTAGGCCTAGATGCCAATACAGTAGCCTACTCAAGGTAGGCACTTACACTTTTTATGGTAGAAGATATAGTTCTTGGGAGTATGTGCCATGCCCTGAAGGGACATGGATGATCATGGCTCAACACAACCTCCAACCCCTTGTTAGTAATATTTTTCTTATTATCATCCCTACCACTCATGTTCCACCATCCACTCACACAAGTTCATTATGTAGGTGGCCCATTGCTTCACTATGTCCTGTTTGCCTTCAATATGTCCTGTGAGTGTCAAATTCTCCAAGCCCTCCTTTCTCATTGTGCTCAACAAATTTCTGAGCACAAGTGTCATTTTTGTTTCCATTTTTCTGAAGACTTCTGAAGGGATATGGCACATAGAAGACAAATGATCCTCTTTGATTAAGGGTGATCAAAAAGCTGGCCGATTGAGAGGAATTATACCAACTGTATTTTTTGTTTTTTCTCACAATTAATTTCAACATCTCTCCTTCTTCAAGTTATATAAAGTAAATATAACTAACTGTAATTGGTATAACAGAGTCATTGTAAATTCCATGATTTTTTCATCAACTTCATAATATCATATGCTTTTTGCCAGGACTACACACAGTTTTAAATTCAGAGTTGTCTTTCTTTTAGACTAGTTGCCACCCACGGTTGAAGATCCTTGTCTGCCTTACTATTTAACTCATAGCCGGTGGGAGAAGAGATGGATTTATGACATTCCCAAGGGTACCTGTGTGAAAGTGAATGTAATAAACTTGACTGGAACGTGAACTCATTTCTCCAATTTCTCATTCAGAGCTACTATCCATTACACCACCTGCACATCCAGCTATATAAAGTTGTGTTTAATTAACGTATATCTTATGATAATCTGAAAAAATATAGTAGATAATGATCAAAATTGTTAATTGTAGTGTTTTCTTCATAGCTTTCTGTTAACTGTAGTTTAAATGACATTTTCTGAAATATAAATTTCCTTCTTGTTATATATGTAAATTTCTTTCAAGGATCACTAATTTGTAGAATTTGATGAATAGAAAAGCTCTGTTTCAGAAGTTCAGTATTTATTCTTTTAACCTGTATTTTGCCTTGTTTGGAATTGACTAACAGTATATTGTTTTGTAATGACCCCTCATAAGAAATTAAAGGATGTGGCCAATCCAGTGGTCACTTTAACAGCATTGCTGTAACAGGTCTGTAATGAGTCCAACAATTGGTCAATAGATGAGCCAATGACAGCCCTATCTCATTTCCACCTTGATGGACAATAAAGAAACTCTCTCTTTTGATGGTTGATGAGTGAGAAGGTGGCAAGCTGGCCTTCTGACAAACAACCATGTGGAAATGTCAACAAACATGTATGTACCATTTGAATAAATATCTCTAATTATTATTATACACACACACACACACACATATACACACACACATTTGAATTTCATGTTAAATTTTCTTTTCCTTTTCGTTGTGGCCTGTTATTAGAACTGTGCCCACATTTTGTACACTTATAATGTTGTCCACAACAGTCTCTTCATGCATGTCATCTTTGTACGTGAACATGATTTTGTTTGAATTATCCCTAAATAGAACTTGGGTTGTCTCCCAGACACTTTGTTGCAATAAAGCAAAGAACTAAAATACAATCTGAGTTCCTTATGACAACTTTGAAAAGTCAAGGGTTACTTACCTCTCGGATGAAAAAGTCCAGTGTGGCATCTGCAATAGCAAGACCATCATGGGTGCTGGTGCCACGTCCAAGTTCATCTAAAATTACCAAGGACTTTGCTGTTGCATGGTGTATTATCTCAGCAGCTTCCTGCAGTTCAACCATGAATGTACTTCGCCCTTTGAAAATATCATCAGCAGCTCCCATCCTAAAATTATATATAAACGCAGATAGAAAATATTAAGAGACCAATGTATCTTTAATATTACACATTTCAAAGAGATTATGGCTACTATAATTCATTATCAATGTTCATGAAGAGTACAAGATTTTCTAATCTTGCATGAGAATTTATGTTCAAATAGTTTTCCTACTTTTTAGAATTGGATACGACTCTCTGTTTGATTTTCTTATGGGCAATCATTGCTCTTCAAAATAACCTGTCTTTAGTTGGGATACTGTTAACGTTCAGTTTAAACATAAGGTCAAACGTATTATCGTTCTCTCTCTATCTATATTGTTTGACTGATTAAATGACTGTAAACATACAACAATGTCTATTTCCCAAGCTTTCCCTAACTGGCTAATGATTACCCCACATTATATTCTGATTCTTAATTTTGTCAGTGTTCCCCAAAAGCTAGAGTAGGGCATGTTCACAAGGTAACATAATGAAAGACAAACACCTTGTTGAGAAATAAGAATGTGAACCCTGTTTTCCATATTCTATGCAGGTGTTTTACTCAGGGCTTCGCTTGCTTGTTCGGCGAGAGTAGGTAGGTAGCACATACTTGTGACAACTTCTTCTGTGTCAGCTCTTCTCTTACCAACTCCTTGCCTATCTACTCATCCCGACATGATGACTGACAATATGAAATGGAGGCTCTGGAAATGAATGGTGACACAAGACATCCGTCTCTTGCCAAGGGCAGAAGAGAATTCTCACCTGATATCAGCACCTGGAAATACCCTATTTCCGGTTTTGTTTCCACATGATCTCTAAAAACCCCTCATTCCCTACTTTATTTTCCACAGCCCTTCAGTTAAAGTGGATGCCACTTAGAAGACCAAACTTCAAAAGGAACCATCTGCTAGTCTATGAAACAGAAACACTTGAGATCGAGATAAAACCATCTTTTTCCTTTTCTATGTAGTTGTCCAAAGTATTACATGACCACAAATAGAATCACTGAGTCAATGAAAACTCCACAATCCTTTATGTTACCTGCATAGTATGTGCTTTGCCATGGCTACATATGGTTTTGAATTCAGAGTTGTCTTTCTACTAGACTGGTTGCCAACCAAGACTGAAGAGACCAGTCTGTCCTACTATTTAACTGATAGCTGGGGGAGAAAATATGGATTCATATATTTCTGAAGGGTATTTGCACAAAAGTTAATGTAATGGAACTTGACTGGAATTTAAGCTCTGCTTTGATTTTTTGTTTCAGGCCACTGTTCATTAAACAAACCACACATCTTTTCTTCTCTATAAGATTATATAAATTACCTTAAAATTAATAAATATCTTTAACAGAAGATAAAAACCTGAGAATTTCTTTCTTCATCTCTATCTATAAAAGGCAGGATGTGTGTGTGTGTGTAATGAATGCACGGCCGCAATTTTCGATAGATTTGCACCAAAATTTACATGCACATGCTCCAAGTTAACTGGAAGGCCAAGATCGACTTTGCATTTCCCAACTCCCATCGATAGTGGAAATAATCGATTTTTTCATGCTTCTACGGCAGTTTTCATATAGTTTGCGGCCACTTTGTACCGGCCAGAGCGAGAGCCAATAGCTGGCTGCCACGAATAGGTAGGAAGATTCTATTGGCCAGTGTGAGAGCCAACAGCTGACTGACACGAATGTTAACTAGCATGCTATCATGCAAAAAAAATTGATAGGTGCATTTGTCACAAGTGAGAAAAATTTAAATCTGCATGGCACTTTACTCCAATTGGCTCATTCGCTTGCTTAAACTCAACGTTGATTCTGATTCCGCAGAACTGGGTTGGGTGTGAAAAAGTATTTATTGTTAACATTCTTTTTTCATTCGGTTTTTCTAGTTACGAGTCCTTTTTTAAAGTTGATCGTTTTGTGTTCATTTTGTTTAGTTCTTTTTTCGTAACCGATTTAATGCTTAGTATAGAGCTTAGAAAAAATTTGCAGTGTGAGATAGGCAAGAAGTAAGGCATGTATCAACATCAGCATGGCAAAGGGCTCTCCTTTAAAGGCAAGGAAGGGCAAAAATATTTTAAGTCAAGTGATAGCGATTGTTGTACGAGTCGTATGATTTTTGAATCAAGCACAGGCCATGCTGGGTCATGCTGCTAGTTATGAAATAATTATTGGATGGCTGTCAATGCGCTTGAATAGTCCTTTCAGAATTAATTCTAGAAAGTGTCTTTAATATTCTTCTCATGACAGCTTTTTTTTCAATTTGTGTTTATATTGCTATAATTCCTGATTTGTGGTTTCATACCACACTTTGGCAGTACTGCAGAAACTGTTAATACTTGTTACAGCTTTGCATAATTTAATTTGGTTATTGGAAAAATTTTGAACTGATAATCAAAAAAAAAAACTAATTTGTCTTTTCCTCTAAAAGTCAATTTGCTATAAATTGATATTCCTATGTTCTTAAGGTGCTTTTATTTTGAGTTTACCTTATAATGTTCCCTACTTTGTTTACTGATGAAACATTTTGATAATACAAAACATGACAATTCCTTTAGCTTCCATATCCACTTGGGTATTTTGCTTATAACTGTTTCAGAAGGGAGAGCAATTCCATCAGTAAACCAAGTGTAAAAACTGGTACCTTTAATATATTCAGCAATGTAACTTGACTATAGGCATATAGAACTAAAATGAATTACATAGGGTTTTACATGTGTGTAAGCGTTCTGAAAGCAAAGGAAGTATTTGTCACAGATTACTTCCACAACACAAAGAAAAATCACTGTAAGTCCAGACTCGAATATCTGGGGCAGAAAGAAATGCTGAAAACTCAATTCGCTGGTACTATCTCAAATCACAATGCGTGTAACCAGTCAGAAAAATAACTCACTCTCTAACAAATGCCAAAGCCAAAAATGCCTGAATTTTTTCACTCCCGAATCGAGAACACCAACTGCTTTTATCGGCAGAACCTATTTTTTCATTCATCGACAGCTGGGATAGGATGCTCCGTAATTTGCATATCAAAATACTTTTATAGTGACTCCTGCGATGGACTTGTTTTTCCTTTAATTCAATTATTCCATTTTCAGCATGTTATGCGGAATATGTGCCCTTCTGTTTGGTAAGTAATTTTCTTTTTCACCACTTTTTCCATCGTAGAATACATGCGACACGCTGTCGCTTGGTTTGATGAGGTAAGTCGCCGTTTTCTTCGCTATAATGTGGTTGAATGAAAGAAAAGCACATAACCAGGTGGCAGGATATATGTATGATTATGTAGTTTCAATCATAAAAATGTATGAGAAAGCAACCAGATTATCACAGTGACCAGCAATGGGAGAGAAGAGAAGATTGTAAGTGAGTTCTGCTGTTCTTTCATGTGGCTGGAGGTTGTCATAAAAAATGGGTTCATTTTGGAGAAAAAAAAAAAACAAATAAAAAACTTAATCTCTTGTTCAACCTCAAATTGTTTCTCTAATTAATATTTTGAATAAAGCAATAACTCTTGGCTAAAAAGACAAATGTCTAAATTGTATTATAAAAGTCTTACTGTATTGCTTAATGCAGCCTGTGAGATAAAAGGAAAAACTAATATATTTTTTAATCAAGTTCATCCCAAGAAAGGCAATAAAGCCACTAAGACACAAAGGGTTACTTAGTGTGGAAGAATTAGAAAACAGAAACATTACTAAAGAGCAAGAACAAAAGAAGAGTAATCAGGAGGACATTAGATAGCAATAGACATTGCATTTAAATTTTTGAAGATCAAAGTTGACTGGAAAACATATAGTCAGAAAAGAGTTCCACAAGCAAGAAGTGCAAGAAAAGAAACTGTTAGCATAGAAATTACAGTTATATCTAGCCAATTCAACCGTAAAATGATGAGACCTCAGTGCCAGTCTAGTAGTGCTTAAATTCATAAAGTCTAGGTACCATAGTGAAGTGCTCATCCAAACAATTAGAAAGTATTTATAAAAATAGCACAGGGAGGCAATTTTATGGTGGTGTGAAAGTGGCTGAAGCCGAGATATCAGGTCAGGACCAACAATATTGCAGATTCTTTGGATTTTATCAAGGAGCTTGCTATATATAGCAGGAGCACCAGACTATATGTGGCAGCAATATTCTAAGTGCGGATGGATGGTAGACTTATAGATATGCAAGATAATTTTTCTCTCCAGAATCTGTCTCACACAACACAGTGAACCAACTTTCTTAGCAGTTGATCTAGTAATGGATTCAATATAATCTTTCCACTTGATGTCAGCTGAGAATGTTAACCTGAGAAGGTGCAACAAGTCACTCTTCTGGAGGTTAGATGAAAAAAAAATACTGGTCAAAATTTAATAATTGATAGTGCTTCATTTCCAAAAACTTTCTGATGAAGCTAAAATAAAACAGCAAAATATGTCAAATTTATAAAGGTTTTCCTAATTTTTTTCTAATATAATCACAGTGTTTCATCTCAGAAATTGAAAAAGATAGTAATATTAGTTTTATGACTACAGGAAGATCACAGGTCTAAGTGAAATACTACATTAGTATTGTGTCAGTACAATTATAATTGAAACTATGAGTGATCATTTGTTTTAATGACTGAGATAAAGGAAGAAAAAATACTGAAATAAAGATGAAAGAAGTACTAGTCAAAAAATTTAACTCGTATGAGAAATTAAGAAAAAAGATTATAATATTAGTTCTACTACAAAACTAAAAGAAGACTAGCCTAAGTGAGATTCTACAATAATATTGATCATGAGTTCAAGCATTTTGTAACCACAATATATTCCATATAGGAACTAGAAAAAATATCAGAAAAACCTTTGGTCAAACATTATAAATAATTGATTCTTATTTATTTTCATCCTCATTAGATGAATCATTGTTCAATTAATTAATTCATTTTGATTCATATTTATTTTCATCATAATTTCATTGCCACTTTAATCAGGTTGTCAAACTACAATGATCAGTATTGGAAATAAATGTCAAACTCAGGTCTGGTTTATTTTGTTTTACAGCATATTAATCCCAATAGGTCATTTAATGCTGACAAGATTTTTAGGATAGGTTTGTATGAATAGTGTTGTAACCTAGGGAAGGTTACTGAATAGAATAATCACATGAAGGTTGGTAATGAATGATAAAACTTAGGACACAAACAACACATATAAGATTCGCCAGCGGTGCGTAGAAAAAGTAGTCAACTGCTAGGAGTTAAATGAATTCCACAATGAATCTCCAACTGCAGACCAACATATAGTATTTACTACGCCATTTATGTGAATGGGGACATATCCATTATCGTCTGTAGGTATGCTACAACAAATAGAATATGTATTCTTTGTAAAAAATCAGTTTGTAGATCAGGTTTTATTGGCGTATAGTTTTAAAGAGGGTTGAGAGTCAAATGCATTGCTGGTAATATTTTTTCCCCCCCAAAATGTAGTGCTAGTAATTTTTTTTTCAAAAAGTTTTGGTGGTAATATTTTTTTTGTTTCCAAAATATTTTTTTTTACCCCCCAAAAAATGTATTGCTGGTATTTTTACTATAAAAACCTACTTTTACACTTTCATAGTGTTTTGACTCCAGTTTGGGGGTTAACTATTTGCCCATAGCTGGGACCCTAACAGGTGCTACCACCCCAGGTCACAGTGAACCTGGAAACAAAACCAATTAAGAGGTGGTTCCATGCTCCTCAAAATCTCCTGATCAGAGTACTTGCTGCTGGATGTAGCTTAACATCATACCCAGGACAAGCCAAACTTAGGTCTCTTTTGCCCAAGGAAAGCCTTGCTGCATGCACCAGCTGCTTTAACTGCTAAGATACGAGAACTCAATGGCTTTGTAGAAGATCAAATCTAACCTATAATTTCCTCACTTTTTCATGATATTTCTCAGTACCATTTTTAGTTTTTATAATAGTTGTGTAATGGCTCCTCATAAGAATTTAAAAGTGGCCAATCCAGGGATCTGTTTAACACCATTGCTGTAGCTGACATGTAATGAGTCCTCTGACTGATCAACAGGCAAGCCAATGACAACCCTTGGCAGACAATTAAGAAACTCTCTACAGGTGAGAATGTGCTGAGCTAGCCTCTGACAAACAACCATGTGGAAAATTTAAAGAATACGATATACCATTTTAATAGATATCTCTAGTTATTCAGAGATATATTTGAATTTCATGGTGATTATAATTTTCTTTTATTGCTTCTTGCATAACCATTATTAGAACTTTCATATTACTCCAACAAGTTATAATACCCACCTTTTTACACTTGTAATACTGTCCACAACACTAGTATTACTAACACTAGTTTTATTTTTATTATATTTTTATTACTTATTTAATATTTGTTTTCATTAGATGAATCAATGCCCCTCGCTAATTTTGATTCTTATTTACTTTCATCATAATGTTTTAGTTACTTTTCATTGCTACTTTAATAAGGTTGTCAATCTATAATAGTTAATATTGGAAATGATAAGCACTCAGAGAGATTCAAACTCAGGTTTGTTTGCTTGAAGAAAGACTTGTTGAATGCACCAAGCACTTTGTAGATCAAATCTAACCTATAAACATTGCACTTCATTCCATGATATTTCTCAGTAATATAACCATTTTTAGTTTTTGCAATAGTAGTATTAATAACAGTATTTATTTATTTTTTTCTCCAGCACAGAAGTTTTATTAATCTTTATTACTGGTGACTTGGGCAAAGCTGTGATAAAAATCTAAAAAATATTAAAATGAAAGTAAATGCTAGCCAAAAATTAATAATAATGGTCAGAAGTGGTTCATCTAATGAAAAAAAGAATATTTGACAATGATTCATCTAATAATGAAAATAATGCTGTGACTAATATATATATATTGTTGCAAAGTTGCATTGTACTTACCGTGTATAAATTGCATCAAAAATTCCTAACCTTCCAGTCTGTGCTGGGATGTAAGATCCAATCTGAGCCATGATAATTATCAGTGCTACCTGGCGAATATAAGAACTTTTCCCACCCATGTTTGGACCAGTAATAATCATCACCTGTTGTTCACCAACCTAGAAAAAAAACAATTATGAAATCAATAATAGATTAATATTCAATTTGTTTCTTTAAAGATCATTTTCAGTTACCTTATCTGACGGTATAGCAGATTCCAACAATGCAAATGTTAAGATTTCATAGATTTATATCAAGTGTATGAAAAGAAACTGTCTGAATTTCTGGGGTGAGGAATTATCATTATTTACATGCAGACTTGTCCACATCTTGGTTGTTGTTATCAAACATAAAAAAATTAACTAAGAGAACACTTTAATCATTATTAGCAAAAGGGACAGCTGAACACGCAAATTATAAATTGGAGATACCAAAAACCAAACAAGTACAACAACTTAAATATCTGAGAAGTGTTTTAACAGAGGACAGAAAGTGCAACACTAAACTCTGAAGGTGCATTGGAATATCAAAAGATGTCTTCCAAAAGCAAAGCAAAGTATTAGGAAACTTGAAAATTTTGTTAGACACAAAGAAAAGTATATTGAATTGTTATACAATATCAGTCTTACTATATGGCAGTGAATGCTGGACAATCTCCTCAAAGATGAAAAGAGACTTGAAGAAACAGAAATACGGTTCAATGAAAAGATGCTGAGCATATGAGCAACAATGAAGTTTTAGAGAAAATGGAAACAAAAAGGACACTTATACTTAGAATTTATACTTTTTTCCCTGCAGTAGGCTGCCATTTTTTTTTGCAGACCATAAATTTTAAAATTAAAAACCTGGTTTTGCCTTGAAATTTACCCAAAGCTGGTGGGGGGTGAAGAATGATTCATACACATCCTTATTTAAATTTTTCCTTTGAGAAAGGGTATGAAAAAGATTATCCCCCCATTTTATGGGTAAATAGCATCAGATAGATGTTGGTTAGAAGAAGAGGATTCATACCTTTCCGTTATGTGCTAATACTCTTGAGAAAGGTATGAATCCTCTTCTTCTCATCTCCCCCACCTATGGGTAAATAGCAGGGCAGACCGAGTTCTATAGCCTTGGATGACAACTGGTCTACTGCAGAAAGAAATGGCAGCCTACTGCGGGAAAAAAATCTGCCTCATCAGTCATGTATCAAAAGATACATGATCACCTAAGCGTGTATCACACATGGCACATAACTGAGTGATACTTAGAATCAAAAAGATAGTTGAAATTTCTAGCGCACATGAGGAGAGTAGGCTTAAAAAACTAAGCAAGGTATCAAGAAGCAGGAAAATTTCAGCAGTGATAGATTAATATTTAATTCATTTCTTTAAAGATCATTTTCAGCTACCTTATCTGACACTATAGCAGATTCTGCCACTGCAAATGTTAAGATTTCATAGATTTATATTAAGTGTATGAAAAGAAAATGTCTGAGTTTCTGGGGTGAGAAGCTACCATTATTTACATTGCTTACATGCATACTTTTGTCCACATTTTGGTTTTTGTTATCACATATATAAAATTAACATAGAGAACACTTTAATCATTGTTAGCAAAAGGGACAGATGAACATGCAAATTATTAATTGGAGATACCAAAATGAAACAAGTACAACAATTTATATACAGGGATGCAAAAGTAGGTATATAGTAACAAAAAAAAATGTGCACACAAAATGTATTGTAGTAATTATAATAACTTATCACTAATAAACATATTCAGTCAAATGTTCAAACTGTTTGCCCCTGTCATTCACATAGATATTTTGTAGGTAAAGATGACTATTATAAAACATATTAATAATAGCATATCAATAATAAACATATCAATCTTTCAAATGTTCAAACTGTTTGCCCCTGTCATTCACATAGATATTTTGTAGGTAAAGATGACTATTATAAAACATATTAATAATAGCATATCAATAATAAACATATCAATCCCTCAAATGTTCAGACTATTTGCCCCCGTCATTCACACACTCCTCTTTACCAGTAAAACATTTATTATTATTATTTATTAAAAAAAAAAGTTATAAAAAAGATTATGAAAATAAAAAATATGAATTCTAGAACTAGTATTGTAATACTGGTATAACACTTACTATATATCTATTTTGCTGCAACCCCACCGCCCTCGGATCTGGGAAGTGTTTTAACAGAGGTCTGAAAGTACTACACCGAAATCCAATGGCACATTCAGTCAGTTACACACTTAGGCTATCATGTATCTTTCGATACATGACTGACGAGGCAAATTTTTCTCCACAGAAGGTTGATATTTCTTTCTGTGGTAGACCAGTTGCCATCCAAGGCTATACAACCCAGTCTGTCCTGCTATTTACCCATAGCTGGGGAGAGAAGAAAAGCATTCATATCTTTCTCAAGTGTTTATTAAATTTTAATAAATGTAATGGATTCAACTGAATTTAAACTTGGCATCCGATTCCTCAATCTTAAATCCATTACTACAGTATAAATATAATATGTCTTCCAAAAGCTAAGTATTAAGAAACAGAAAATTATGTTAAAAATAAAAAAGAATATACATTGGTCATGTAATATCAGTCTTCTTATATGGCAGTAAATGCTGGATGATCTTTTCACAGATGAAGAAGAGAGTTGAAGCAACAGAAACGTGGTTCTACAGAAAGATGCTGAGAATACCATGAGCCGAATATGTGAGTAATGAAAAAGTTTTAGGGAAAATAGAAACAAAAAGAACATTTATAATTAACATTAGGAAGAGAGAGTTGAAATTTCTAGGGTTCATAATGAGCAAAGAAGGCTTGGAAAATTTGATACACACAGGAGAGATTGAAAATAAGTGGCACAGAGGAAAACAATGCATAACCAATTTAGCGAGCATGTGAAATTGGATGGTAGAATAGGGTTTAGGAGAGATAATGAAAAGACAATATTTATTAAGAGCTATAAAGGACAGTAAATTGTGGTGAGCCATGATCACCAACAACCTGAAGGGACACGATATAGAAGAACATATTTTTTGCAACTATTCTAATATATTTGAACAAAATTAAAAGGATTATTCTAAAATAGATTATTTTCCGAACAACCTAAGACATAGTTGGAAATAAATTTTAATTAGTTTTTGCCTACAGAGTTCATTGTAACTTCATCGTTTTTGTCCTACAGAGTTCATTGTAACTTCATCGTTTTTGTCCTACAGAGTTCATTGTAACTTCATCGTTTTTGTCCTACAGAGTTCATTGTAACTTCATCGTTTTTGTCCTACAGAGTTCATTGTAACTTCATAGTTTTTGTCCTACAGAGTTCATTGTAACTTTCATTGAAAAAAAGAGTATTGTAAATTTTTTTGAGTTCATTGTAAAAAATTTTTTTTTGTCCTATTGAGTTCATTTGTAAAATTCAAAGTTTTTGTCCTACAGAGTTTGAGGTTTTCATGTTTTTTTTTTTTTTTTTGTTCATTGTAACTTCATAGTTGTTAAAAAAAGAGTTCATTGTAAAAATTTTTTTTTGTCCTACAGAGTTCATTGTAACTTCATCGTTTTTGCCTACAGTGTTCATTGTAACTTCATTGTTTAACATTTTTAGAGTTCATTGTAACTTCATCATGAAGGACTCCTTTCCCGTTGGTTTAATCATTGTAAATTTTAAAAATTTTGCCTTACAGTGTTCATTGTAACTTCATAGTTGTTGCCTACAGAGTTCATTGTAACTTCATCGTTTTTGTCCTACAGAGTTCATTGTAACTTCATCGTTTTTGCCTACAGTGTTCATTGTAACTTTTATAAATGTTTATCACAGAGTTCATTGTAACTTCATCAATTTTTCCTTTAGAGTTCATTGTAAAAAAAATGTTTTTGCCTACAGTGTTCATTGTAACTTCATAGTTGTTGCCTACAGAGTTCATTGTAACTTCATAACTTGTGAGAAAAGGAAATTAGGAAGACTCAGTTGATTTTTTATCTATGTAGTGGAGGTATAAGGGAGGTCTATAGATTTCATAGTCTATAAATGAACAAACACAGACACCTTTATTATGCAGCAATATTGTATTGGACTCATTGCATATAATAAAGTTAATATATTGCAGTATAATAAAAGTGTCTGCGTTTGTTCATTTATAGACTATGAAATTTATAGACCTTCTTTATCCCTGAACAGTGGGTTCTTTAAATAGACTTTGATGTGGGACTAATTTTTTGCAGTTAATTTCTAGTTCCCAAAATCTTTTGTCTGAAAATGTAAGATAGATAATAGTTCAATTTGTAAACATTGAAGAAAAGAATTATCGGTTATTGGGGAAGCATCTTTCTTCTTTCTTGGTATTTCATCTATCTATATATATATATATACAACCTCACCAACTTCATTCACCTTCCGAATGGTTGTTTTTACATAATATCATATTATGGAAAGTAATGTTTTCACACTAATATTGGTATTAACCAACTGATGTTAGTAAAACTTTCTGGATATACTTATATTTACTTGAATTTCAGCTTATGATTTTTTTTTTATTAGAAACTAGCTTAAAAGCAACCCTATCAGCTAACTCCTGTGAAGGGCTATGGATTGGGCCTTTATCAGAATAGATAGGGAGGAGTAGATGCGATAGGCAACAAACTACAGAAGAACTCAAAATTGATTGCTGCATTTAAGTATTGCATTAATACTTAAGCTTACCTTTTAAAAGTTAAATGATAATTCTTCTTCTGCCACTTTATTTAAAGACAATTTGATGTACGTAGGTCCTTACTTTCCGTACAAACAATTATTTTTTTTTATTTCATGGGTGACTTTTGCTGGATTTCGCAATTAATTTTCCCATTATTCCCAAATTTATTTCAAGTTATAAAAAAAAAAAAAAAATTCATCGCAAAAAAAAAACTTAAAAAAAAAACCGAAAACAATCGCAGTAATGAAAACTTGGGAATCCAAAATTTTCAGATTGTGGGTCCAATCCGGCCTGGAATGTTTTTAATTTGCTCACAGAGTCAGCCTGA